GACTCACTCTGCACCTGGCTGCAGCCCCAGGCGGGTGCTTTTTCTGTCTGCCACAGCAGCATTCCGGGAGGCTGTGACCACTTTGACCTGTTAAGGGCAGTGCAGCCACCCCGGTACACGGGTGCTTTCTGAGGGGCAAGCCAGCCACGGGGAACCTGTGCACGTGCTTTCTGGCCTGGCCTAGCAGCCAAGTCACGATGTCTCCTGGAGTCTCCCAGGGGCTGCAGGGGCTTGGAGAGGTCCTCGTGACTCAGGGCACCATGCTGGTCGCCAAGCATCCTGAGCGGGGTCCCAGGCATGAGCACGTGTTTACCTGGAGGCACACAGGGAAGTGATCTGTCCGCTGCCACGGGGCTGGGCAGAGCGGTGATTCTTTCTTACCGCGTTCCTGTGTCTTGGCAGGATCTGGCAAAAATGATAGTGCCGAGAAAGTAGCTGAGAAGCTAGAAGCTCTTTCGGTGAAGGAGGGCAAGGAGCCTGAGAACGAGACCAAGGAGGTGGCTGAGGAGGAGCAATGAGTCGGCTCCCGTTGTGTTCTTTCTCCCTGTCTTTTCCCGTTTTCTTTTTTAAAATTTTGCCCTGCACCCTTCTTTTTGGTTTGTTTTTATTCTGTTTTGTTTTTACAAGGGACTTTATATAAAGAACTGACTTCCAACATTCAGGTTGTTTTTTTCTAAGTTTTTGCCCTAATGAAGACGACTTCAGAAAATCCATTACCCAGTCGTGAGAATGTACTGTGCTAACTTTCTTTTCCATAGTGGAAACACTTATTTATAGTCATCAAAATAGCAAATAAACAACACGTTTGAAACTTGCATGGAGGCAGGACCATGTGTGCGTCGGCCCCATCCTGGGACAGTGGGTTCCCGCCCCGTTGGCTGTCACACACGCTCTGCTGTGTGGCCTTTGGGCCGCAGTGCATCTGAGCTGGTGCTGGTGGGGCAGGTGGCCTGGGGAAGCCAGTGCTGTCCTGGAGACCTAAACAGCCCTGCTTTGCCCCATGGCCAGGAGCAGGGAGGTTTTTTCTGGCCTTTGGGGGAGAGAGGAAGCCCACCAGGTCCCCTTGGCTGCGGCACAAAGAGACCTAGTGGGTCCCCTGCCTTCAGCTGGGCACCTTTCGTTGGCCCTCAGTCCTGGCGGAGCCACCCGTCCACAGCTCGCACATCTGGCCTGGTGCCGGGCGCAGGCGGGGCTCAGCCCCACAGCCATCCTCGGAGAAGACCTGTCTGCGTGCTCCTGGTCCTCCGTCTGGGTGGAGGCTGGGGACATCTGCAGGAGCTTTCAGTAAGGGAGGACTTCAGGGATGCAAGCGGGTTAGTGCCATTTGGAGTTTGTCCTGTAAGGCAGGTAGGCCTAAGCAGCAGAGAGGTTCTCCAAGCACACTGTCTAATGGCCTGTGTCCCGGGAGACCACCCAGGCTCGGAGGAGGAGCTCCCGCAGGGGAGGGGGAGGAGCCCGGCAGGAGCTGACCCTGGAGCATCTATCAGAGGCTTCCATCATGGCCCAGCCCTGGCCTGTCTTCCCTGTGTCTCGTGTCCCATTTAAACCTCACTTCCTTGGCCCCTCTGGTGGAGGCACCTCCAAAGGAAGCCAAACTAAAGACCTCACTGGCCTTGGTCACGTGCTGGCATCCCAAGGCCTCGCTTGCTCGCCAGGCACCTGTGGTGGTCCTTCCCTCCCAGGGAGGCCCAGGGAGGGACGTGGAAGCTTTTGCACCTCCCAATTTCAGTCGTGATGCTGGTGGAGGTCACGATGCATTGACCGGAAAGGCTGGTGCTGGGCCATGGTCTTCCAGGGAAGGGTGGTCAGACACCCCTGCCAGAACAGAAGGGACGTGGAACGTCTCTGCTTTGGGCTGTAGTACGTGGTGAATCCCACTTGCTGTGAAATGCCAGGCTGACTTCCCTCTTGGTTGAGGAGATGTGTCTCCAAGGGGGGAACCCTGAGCGGGGCGGCCCCTCAGGGTGGCTGGGGCACAGCCATGCTGTGACCAGGCTGCACTGCAAGGTGTGACAGCCAGGACGATCAGGGACACTGGGGGGGCTTCTCTGAGCCCCCAGCCAGTGTATGTCCAGGTGGACTCCCTGAGGCTAGGGTGTGTGAGGGGGTGTGTGATGCGGTGGGGGTGGGGCGCGAAATGGCCACTCTGTTCCAGGTCAGTCCCCTGGCCTGCAGCTCAGGCGCTCTCTGCTGTGCTCAGCAGAGGACACCTGGGCCATGGCCTCACTGGGTCCGCCCCACCCAGGACCCCTCTGCCCAGGCAGTCGGCAGGGACCTCTTCAAGGGGGACACGTGCCATTCCTGCCCACGCCCAGCAACAGGTGCTCACTGCACAGCTCTCACCCCGCACAGACCTGGAGGCCCTCTGGGGGCCTCCGTGTGCAGGGCCACAGAAGGGCCAGAGCCAGGGCCAGGCCCGGGGGGTGGCGGGGGGCTACAGTGTGTCCTCAGGCCCTGAGGCCACCAGAGGCTGAGGCAGCCCGGGCAGAGCAAGGAGGTGTCTGCTCTCCGCTCACCTCTGGGCCCTGGGCCTCCTGGGGTGGGTGGGCTCCCCGATGGGCAGAGGCTGTAACTGGGGTGGTGTGAGGAAGCCCGTTACCACCTCTGCTGTCCAGTAGCTGCATTAATGCCTCTGTTCTGGCCCCCAAGCCCAGGTTCCTTTCTAACAGCTCACGGCCCTGCCTGCTGGGCTAGGACCTTAAGGCGAGGTGGGGTCTTCCAGTCTGAGGAGTCCCAGGGCCTGTGCAGCGTGGCCCAAGAAGGTCACCCGAGGAGGTGGCTGCTGGCCTGCGTGGGGTTCTGGCTGTAGAGAAGCAGATGCCCAGGGCCAGGGAGGGCGAGGGCCCCACATGGATTCCGACCTGGGGAGGGGGCAGATGGGTCTTGGTTTCAGAACAGAGGACCCAGGGACGTATTGGAGGGGACAGACTTGCTGGTCCTCACTGTGGAGGCTGTGGCCCGCCCTCGCGCGGCCCAGCACTGCGAGGCTGCTGGTCCACCTTAAGCAACAGCAGTGGCGCTGCTGGCGGGGTGGGATTTCCTGCAGGAGGTGGGCACGCCCGCGGGCCTATCCCAGGCACGGGCAGGGTGCCCGGCCCTTCCCGAGGGGCACTCCTTTCTGTCCTGGGAGGCCTGCAGCCCGGGCTGGGATGCAGAGGGACCAGCAGACCCGCCCTCCTTACCCTGCCCGCTGGCCCTGTGGCTCAAGGGCTGTGAGGTGGGCAGGGGATAAACAACCAAGGTGCCCTTGCAGTGTCACAATCCCCCACCCTCATAAATGCTGCGGGTGGGGTGGGGCGGGCGGGGTATTGCTCCAGATGGGAGGGGCCTGGCCCTACCCGGGAAGAGCTCCGAGGTG